TTATAGCCCAGGACTTAGGACTTATTATGATGAATCCTATAATTATCTAAAGCAATGTGAAATCAATTTTATATTTTTATGTTAATGAAATTAATTGATTAAATGTACATATTTAAAACACACCACAGTATTTGTAATAGTGTATTGACATTATTTTTAAAATACACTGAGGATCTTAAAAAAATAAAAGAAAAAAACAAGTGTCCCAGCCTCTTGACCTCCAAAAGTTCCTTCTTGTACCTGATAAGAAGCTCCCCCCACCTCTTGACTTTCAATAAAGAAATCTTTTGAAAGTTACATTTGTATGTGTGACATATCTACTGGAGGAAGACAGTCTCCAAGGCCCACAGATGGACTGTAGCTAATTACTACTAACAGCATAGCTCAAGAGTAAACTGGCCACCACAAGAGGAAAGCAGGGAGACACTGAGGCACCAAAGTCCGTCTGTGTAAATATGCATCAAACCTGCTCCAGTAGAGAGGGCCACTGACTGTACAGACCTGACAGATGCTTTCTCAGTGGAATCTCTCTAGGACTCTTCACAGCTTGGGGCCCACGTCCTTCAGACTCTCCTTGTCCCTTTGCTCCAAAGCAGTGGTTACCCAATGGAAAATGCAAGTCACCAGAAAGGGTTTCCCTCTTTGTGAATTTATGAATTTGCATCCTTCTTTATGTATTCATGCCAGTGAGTTTGATTAAGATGAACTGGATAATTACTGATCGCAGCCCTATGTTCCAGTTTCTGGCCTTTCAGACATGAAACAAACCTGAAGCAAATTAAATTCATCAAAATAATGCAACCTGCATGACTATTCCTGCAGGAAAGGTTGCAAAGCATTCCTCTGGATTGTCTGTTTATTTCCCAGATCTCCTGGGTGGCGCATTTATCGCAAGGACTATTCTAGACACTTCTGCCCTCCCTAGAACCTACAAAGAACTTCTGTATTTTAGTTGTTTTTATGCTATACTGTAATTACATTTAGCAATTAAATCCAACATTTTAGATTCTTTTTTAAGATCTAAGAGAACTTTCTGAGGTTATTTTGTCCAAGCTCTTTGACATGCAGATGCTAGAACCAGTGCCCACAGAGGTGGGCTTCATTGGGGAGAAGGCTTATGACTTGCACTCCACCATACAGTAAGGTGAAGTACAGGGCCAGAGTCATCTACCTCCTTAACTACTCAACCTCATTGTCACTGAGGTTATTGTGCATCAAATGTATATGTAATGGTCATAATGAATGGTGTGAGGAGGAACAGAAAATAAAGCCATAAATCAACAAATTGAGGACCATGATCTGGGAAAATAAAACTATACCTTAAATATCATTTGTAATAAATGAGTAAACTACTAAAAAATGACTGGGGCACTGAGTGTATAAAAGAGGTATTGAGTCCAATTTCCAGGAAAATCAACCTAACAAGGCTCTAGCCAGCTATTGAGGACCCTGTGTCCAGGTGTTGAGTGCCTTTGTGGGAGAGATGCTCTGAAATGGAATGTAATTATTTGTAGATCCTCAGTAGATAGATGAAAACAGCTTTTTTGAATGGGCTGAGGCCAGGGATTTAGCTCAGTAGTTCTGCCGCCTGTCTCACGAGTGCAAGCTCCAAAGTTCAATCCTCAGTACCAAAAAAAGGGGTGGGGGGCTGGCTTTAGGGAGCATCACCTTGGAATTTTTGTTTGTTTATAAAATGAGAGTAGAAAGAAAATAAATATGCTCTGACGGGCAACTTAAAGTCAAAAGCAGTGAGTATTTCAGAGCTGGGTTTCCTAATCTGCTATTTTGGCAAGTTGTACTATAATCTCCACCTTGGTGGTTCTCTTACAACATTCTGGGAGGTGAGATTTCCTTTATTCTCTAGCATTCAATAAACATTGTGAAGCAACACTTAGCCTTAGGCGGAACTAATATATTCTCTTTAAAATGACCTAATTTAAAACAATCACCCAATTTGCAACATTGTAAAATATTTAAAATTATAACTTGCTATGTCACAATAGCCATGGGCAAGTAAACAGTAAGACCACATAGAAGAGAAATTGCTGTAAAATTGGCATTTTAGGACAGAAGAGAATATTTGGACTCTATTGTTCCATTTATAAAGTGGCTCATTAATAGTAAAAACAGTGGCTGCTCCATCACTGGGAGTCAATAAAATATTTGTTGAACGAATAAATGAAGGAATGGGTCCTGTTTGCCTAACTCACAGATGTACTGGTCCCTGAGACCAGTGCCTGGCAGATAAAAATATTCAAATATTGGTGGAACAAATAAATATCCAAGTACATTTATTTATTCTGCAATCACTATACTGTGATTGAATATGAACTTTATGCACAGGTGCACTGTTAAAACCTCTCCTGCTACTAGAGAGGCCAGGTTTCCAAGCCAGTGCAGCCTAACTTTCCCACTACAATGTAAGTCCCATGAGATAGAACTTTGTCTGATTGAATTGTTACTTAGTGTTTTTTTATAAACATATAAATTAAAGGAATGAATACAGTTTTTCAATGAAAGTGGACAACATGGACCAATCATATAAAGACAGACACCACTGTATAAGAGAAACCCAAGTTCTCCTGTTATAACAATTTTTTCCTCTCCTGTAGTAACAAACATTTTTCCTGCCACCACCTTGAGACATGTTAGTTCAGAATTCTCAGCCTATGAGGACAGTACCATGCTTGACATCTATGCAAGTGGGCCAGTACCTCTGATTAATTTTTAATAATGTTTTATGATTTTTCTAAGTTTTAACCACAATCCAGGTAGGGGTGTATAAATTTAAAACAAACAAAAAAATTGTCTTTCAGGAATGAAAAATAAATGTAATCTGAAATCAATATTTATGAAGTTGTGATTAATTGACTGATGACCAAATGATTACAAAACGTCTGTCTGAAACATCTACTCAAATTTATTAGCTTTGACCAAAAAAATTAAAAAACAATCTGAACCAGGTCAATGAAAGAATAATGCATTCCTAATCAATTTTTAATAGCACTTAAGATTTTATATTTTTTTAAAACTTGCTTTTAAATAATTTATCATTAAAATAAATCTGATTTAAACAAGGGGTAAAAGGTGTTCCATAGCCATTTGATGGTTTTCTTAGCAAAGAAATTGAATTATGACTGACTTTTTATTACTGAACTACTTTATTAATAATAATACATCTTGCACTTACATGAAGGCATCAGGCCAACAATCTCAGAAAGTCCATCAAATGGGATCTAGGATTGAGCTCCAATTCTAATATTATCTGTTGCTTTACCTTAGCCAGGCATCAATTTCCTCCTCTGTGAAAGGAAAGCCCTAAAAGCCTTTCTAGTCCTACAAGTTTGTAATTCTAAGGGTTTAGGAGACCTTAGCCTACTCTAGGCATTACCATGTATGTAACTGAACTTCTGGAATCACAGGTTCCTCATAAGGCTACCAAGATAAAACAGTAAGCAAAAAGCCAGTGAGCCAATCTTTGTTTTCCTTTTAGATTAATATCATTTAATATTTTGGGCCAAGCAACTTAGATATAGTACACAATTAGTTAGAAAAAAAGGAAATGCCCTTCATGGAGAGGAAATAAAAGATAGTTCTTGACATTAAGTTACTTGCATTATTAAAAGCCAAGCTGGGAAATCAATCTGGACGTAAAGAGAGTCCCATTCAACCTTTATTGATAATGATGTTATTTGGACATGAATGTTTGTGTTTATCCACAGTGTAGTAAGTGGGCAAAGCAGATATGTTGTGGTATAATTCTTTTTGTGCTTATGCATATAGCAATACATGAATTAAAATGTTTGCAAGGATATGTTCTAGATGTTAATTGTGGTTACCACAAAGGAGAGAGAGGTGAGGCAACAGTATAGAGAAACTTTTGCTTATTATTTTATATATTTTAAGTGGCCTAATCTTCCTAAAATGAACCAGATCATTTTTATAATTCTCAAAAGGCAAAAGTCTTCAATTTTGAGATAAAAATTAAAAAATAAAAGGTATTGTTTAAAATAAAACAGCCTGGGCTTATACTAAAGTTAGTCTATGGCTAAGGGAAATATTATTTGCTGAACAGTCAATTCGTAGCAGATTCTAGGTAAATTAGATGCAGTCCTTGACCTCCTGAAAAGTAGTCTAGTAAACACATAATCAACTATAATACAACGTGATCAGCATAGAAATAGTTATATTACTAGAGCATTAAAACTGCACTCAGAAGCTGCAACAAGGATCAGAAATGTAAAAAGAAAGGTTAAAAATAGTTGAGGTTGTAATATCCTATTTAAAATATAGGTCATAGGGCTGGGGGTTTAGCTCAGCGGTTTGGTGGCCTGCCTCGCAAGCGCATAGGACCCGAGTTCAATCCCCGGTAACACAAAAACAAAAAAAAACAGGTCATGATTTTAAAAATTTATCTTTGCAATTTAGATATTAGAGCTGATCACCAGGATTATTTACAAAAATGAATTTACCTTTTAAGCCATGGAAAAGTCTTTTTAAAGAAGTGCCTTCAAGCCTGGCATGGTCTCATATGCCTATAATCTCAGTATTCTCAGAAATTCAGGCTGAAGTATTCCAACTTTGAGCCCAGCCCCAGCAATTTAGAGCCTTAGCAAGACCTTACCTCAAAATTAGAATTTGTAGGAAGGGCTGGGGCTGTTAATCCAGTGGGAATACGTGTTAAAACAGATAACGTCTTTTCACGTCTTGACTCTGCTGCAAGTTTATGTGTGGGGTTTAATCTTAAAGAGGAAAATTCCTCCTGTCCCCACACAATTTCCCTCGGAAAGATCTGGGGATTATAGGTGTCGCCTATCAATAGCGTCCTTCCTTCTCATTCTTAGTAACAGCTTCTGAATTGCAGCTCCCGAACTGAAAAGGTTTTTCTTTCTTTTTTTTTTCAAAGAAGTAAAAAGTCTGAGCGAAGGCGAATTTCAAAACCGCGTTTTCGTTTGCTCTCCCGGGCGGGCTATGGCCCTGCCGGGCCGCCGTAGCCGGCCTCGCGCTTCGCCAGTTGTGGCGAGAAACCTCTGTCGGCGGGACTTCCGTGTTGGCGGGATTCTGAACGCTGCCATGGCTCAGTCTGTGCAGAACGTTACGTTGTCTCTCACTCTGCCCATCACGTGCCACATTTGCTTGGGGAAGGTAATGGGTGACTGCGGGCGCAGCTACGAAACGGTGTTGGGTGTGAAGTACCTGTCGGGGCCAGGGGCGGTCTCCGCGCTGGGCGGGGACGGGCGTGAGACGCTGAGATCTGAGCAAAAGCCGAGCGCCTTCTCCTCGGGCGTTAGGAGGCCGCATCCCGGCCGAACGAACTTGTGAGCTGTGATTAATGGGTTCATGTGGGCGCTTTTCGGAGGAGGCCGACAACGTGCTGGAGCTGACGGCGAGGCGGCTCTGACCCCGCGGGCGGCCTGTGCGGCTGGCGCCGGCCTCGGAGAAGGCCCAGTCAGTCGCGTCGCCGCAGTGCTGTAGCCCATTCGCAACCCCACGTGGCGTGTAGCCCTTTAAAGCACCTTTCCTAGAAGCCTCGCCTAAGGTTCCTTACTCCCCTGCTCAACTAGAGTGTTCGTGTGCCGGGGCCTAATGCTGAGTGACGAGTCTTCCATTTTAAAGTCTTTTCTTTTTCTTACCTTGGCCTTAAAGGTTGCCTTTGCTGTGGGTGCAGACTTTGAAAAATAAACAGTATCTGCCCAAAGGTAGTGTTTAGAGGTCTGGTCTTTAAATCCAAGAAGGGATCAGTCACGAGATAGAATACTCTCTTTTTGATGCAGGAGGTGCCTAATGTGTTGGCGAAACCATGTGGAGAAAGTACTTTGAATTAGGAACGGAGTTTTGCATCTTCCCTTGCATTGTCTACCCTCTCATTTCCGTTTGTATTTCTCATTTGGTCTTTTTTTAAAGAACACTTTTTTTTTTTTTTTTTAGCTACCTGGATCAGAGAGGGAAAATACTGGCTCAGGTTTTTGTTTTTTTCCCCTCCATGCTGATTTTTTTTTTTTTTTTAATGTTTGCAGTGTGTCTATTTCTCCCACTAAAGTGTAGACTGAAACTGCAGCCTCAGGCTTAGAATTGGTAATGCTAATCTCAGTGCCATCCAATATGATCACCTGTCTAGATGTTTGAGGTTCATTATGAACTTACTGAGTTGAAGAAGTAAAAGGAAGTCTGGATTGAAGCAACTGATAACTCTCGGTTACAGACAGAATGAAAAGCCAGCAAAATAGCTGATGTGCTGTGAGAGCACTTTAAGGGATGTCTTGATCAATTTTGACTAGAGAGATCAAAGATGGCCTCATTGGGGGTGGTATTTGAACTGTCATTTGTTACCATTGCCTACACACATGGCTGGCTTGTTTGGGGGAAAGTGATGTTTCCATGTATTTGAATAGTTCTGTACATTTGACTTCTGACACATTCCCTAGATGTGTTAAATTCTGAGTGAGTTTTGTTCAACAGTAGCTTTTGAGTTGAGAAAAATATCTGGGAAGGTATTTTCCTTTTGGTCTTGATTTTCATTAGTTAGGAAGCTGTGTTTTGTAATTGTGCTGGAAATGTGTTCTGCCTGTTTGGTTTACCAGTCCTATGCTTTTTGTATTTAACAAGTGATACCTGATAAAATATAGTGCTTTGCAAATTACAGAATGCTTTGCTTTTATTCTTTCATTTATTCATCACACCAGTGTGTGAGATGGATAGGATTCTCTAATCTCTTTTCTCTGGAAGCTAAGACTTCAAGCCTCTAGTAGCGGAACTTCTGTCATTAGTACCTTCCTTTGGTTACTTCCTGAAACATTCACTTGTACTCATCCGTGTCAGTAGACGCTTTAGGTGTTTTTTTCGGTATTGGTTATCTTTATTCTAAAATAAAAATTATATAAAATATTGTCTGTAAATAAGCATTTTTTTTTTCTGTTATAGAGTCAGAAAGGTGTGGTGACTGAGGAGAGCCTGAGTTTTACATTCAGACTACTTGAGTTCTAATCTAGGTTCTACTATTTACAAAGTCACAGTGACCTATATAACCTTGTACAAATTACTTAACCTGAGTCTCAGTTTCCTAGTGTGTAAAATGGGAATGGTAATACTATCAACTCCCTTCCTTCTATTTTTGATAGGATTAAATGAAATATATGCATTTTTAGCACAAAATATGACATATAACATTCAGTAATTCTTTGCCTTTATTATGGGCATTGAGGCGGGCCCTGAACTGAGGATCCAGCCTTTCCTTGTGAGCATTAAGCATTTTTCCAATTGCTTTGTGAGATTAGTGCACTTTTCAAAATTGCCACAATACATTCAGGATTTTAAACTATAGCTTTTATGACTGTTGCCTTTTCTAATCCAGTTTGGTTGTGCTACTAACCCTTCAACACCTACCATATTTGTGGGGTACTAGATATAAGTAATTATGAAGTATTTTTCATTTGAAAGGGAATCAAGTTTCATATAGCTCCATAGTATTAAGATTTCTGCTTAATATTAAGGCCAAGCTTTTTGATTGAAATAACCAGAAATGAAACCAGATTCCTTACAATGTAGAGGTGCCTGCCGAAGAATACTACCAAAAGGATCACTTCTTTCAGGGAGGACTGCCTGCTTTGCTTTTCACCTATACTGTTGTTTAAAAATATTGAAAAGAGGTAGGGACAAAGCCTTATGTAGCTTAGAGTCCTCATTCTGGGTGATAAAATTCACTAATCATTGTTCACTAGAGACATTTCCAACACTGATTGGCTGTTCACTGTTGATTGACCAGCAAGTGATCCACCTTAATACTGTGAGCCCATGTTTGACTTCTCATTGCCTTAAGAGGACCCAAGAGTGAATTTAAGAATGAGGCTGGCATATAATTGTCACAAATAGTTTGCTATAATACAACTTCCACATCTTTTTCGAATTAAATATGAAGAATGTAATTATACCTTTACCTACTTAGACTATAATAAAAATTAATTCAAAGTACTGATATAGCCTATTTATCAGGGGTAATAGCTGACATATTTACTTTATAAACAGAATTTAAGTTTAACTGTAAAGCATTCCTGTTAGGAATTAAGAGGTGAAGATAGGAGAAGGGAGATGGATTATCTTCTATCTAGACAGAAATGGGAAGACATTACTAAGTGACTTAGTTTACATAATTTACATTCTGCAGCAAAATTCTGGCCCAGAGCTAGACATTTCTTAAAACAGTGTGTGTGAGTGGGAGAGAAATTCAGGAACTTTATTTGAAATATTTCCAAATACTGAGGTTGAAATGTTGGGTCCCTTATAATCATTTCTTTACCACAGCCTTATCCTTTTCACATTTTGTCTAGGTCTTCACTAGGGTAGCCTATACTATTTTGACAAGATTTTTTTTTTTAAAGAATAATACTGTTTCAAGAATAATGTCTTTCAAGAGACAAAGTTGGCTCTTATTTCTAGTGAGAGTGTCAATGGTGCAGGGAAGTGGATTTTAAGTATAATTATCAGACTAGTTGATAAAGCTGCCCCATAGTGTGTTTATTCCCATCACCTCATTAGTACCTAGTCTCTCACTTCTTTTAGGCACATGTCTATTCCTTATACTCAGATTGTTGTTTATGGACCCTGCGTCAGGGAAGAAAAAGCTGTTAATTTACTTGAAAGATCATGTGATTTTACAGTTGTATAATATTAGAAATAAATTAACTCCCTGGCATTTGTATGTGTACATTTCCTTGAGTTTGAGTTTCCACAGCTAACAATATAATTGATATTATCAACTCCTTTAACTTTAGGAAAACTCGTGAATATCCTAGATAATTGATACTTAGTGGGATAGAGGTATATTTCAAGGACATTTTACAATGCCTGGAGATATTTCTGGTTGTCTGTAGGAGGGTTGCTACTGGCATCTAGTTGGTAAAGCCCTGGGATGCTACTGTCTAAATAGGTAACTGTGTACTAGTGGCATCTAGTTGGTAAAGCTCTGGGATATTCCTATCTAAACATATAACAGTGTACAGGGCAATCCTTATATTGGTCAAGTTTCCATTGCTGGGACAAGATATCAGACATACACAACTTAAATGAGGATATTCACGAACTTTATTTTGGCTCACAGTTTCAGAGTGTTCCATCTATGGTCAGGTACCTTCAAGGCAGAAACATCATGTGGAATGCATGGTAGAGAAAAGCTGTCTGTCTCAATACATCCCAAAGGAGAAATAGAGAAAGAATAGACAGGGATAAGAATACACTTTTCCAGGTTATTCCCCTCAGTGACCTACTTCCTCCAAAGAGGCTCTGCCTTCTAACAGAATATTCAGCTATGAACTCATCAGTCGATGAGATTAGCATTTCCATAATCATCTTTCAAAAGTCACTTCTGAATACATATATCTTTTGGGGGAGATTTGTGATCCAAACCATAACAAGCTACCTACAATAAAAATTTTATGGACTAGCATTTTAGTAGTGCCCAAAATGAGAAACTCTGGCCTGAGCTGATGTGTAGCTTGTAGTAGGTAAGTCTAGGATGATAGGAATACAGTGGTACCTCAGTTTTTGAACAATTTGGTTCACAAACAAAAGTGTTTGGCAAAATTTTATGTTTGTTTGCAAACTCATTAGTGACAAAACAGCCATGGCCATCTTTCCCCTTTCCAGAATTGTGGAACAAAATGTTTCTGAACTGAGGTACCACCTAATGGGTGAGAACTTTAAATTTAATCATCCAAGTATATTTGCTACTTAAAAGGGTTTTGGTGGTAGTCTCTCTAAAGACTGAAACATCTTCAGATAAAAGAGATAGGTTGGCATAATAGGAAATCAGATTATAGGGTGTGGCACCAAAGACTTCCCCCACTCCTACCTTTATTTTTTCTTTTGCGGTACTAGGAATGGAACCCAGGACTTCAAAATGAGCTACATCCCACCTATCCACCCCATTTTTTTTTTCAGTATCAGAATTTGAACTCAGGACCTTGCACTTGTGAGGCAGGTGTCGTGCCATTGAGCTAAATCCCCAGCCCCTACATCTCACTATTTTTTAAGATGTATTTTTATTTTCTTTTGACAAGTTCTCACTTAGTTGCCCAGGCGAGGTGTGAACTTGTGATCCTCCTTCCTTAGCCTCCCAAATATAAGTGTGGGGATATAGGCATATGTCACAA